ACTATTAAACGCCACAAAGCAAAGAATGATCAATCTTGAAATAAATTCACGCTAAAAAAGTTGAAAATAGTGACTGATTACAAGAAAAAGTGACTTTAGTGACTTGGCCTTAAAAAAGAGACTTTTTAGTGACTGGCTTGAAAAAAGTTACCAAATCACTGAAAAGTGACTCGCTACCAGTCCTGCAATTCAGACCATAATGCAAGCTCACAAGGTACACCTAATCGGGGGATGTCAGGTTCGCTTACAATTTTGTGGGATTCATCATCGGAGGATGTTAGTGGAGACCGCATGAACGGAGGATGCGATATACCGAGCTGCGGTCCAATGCAAGAAAATGGAGAAAGAAAAATGTGGAGTGTATTAGTGCGTGAAATTAATCATGTCGAAAAAAAAAGTGGCCGACTGAGACTCGATCCCAGATTTTTAAAAAATCACTATTTGAATCCTGGAAAGTTTTTAAGGCCTGCAACAAAGAAAAATGTACAGAGCTCCAACAATTAAACAAACTATATAAAGCTGGAGAATAACTATTGTATTTTTAGGATAATTTAAAAGGAATTAAAGCGTTAATTTGAGAGAAATGCTGAGAAGAATTAACACAAAATTCTGGCAAACATCCTAAAATAGTTCTAACCAGAATTTAAAGAAAATTCTGAGATAATGTCCAAAGAAATGCTGAGATGAATTCTCCATTTCAGGGGAGCAGAAAGGAAGTTTCGAAAGGACCTGCTCCGTTATGAATTACAGGTATACCTCGATATAACGTAACTGTCACTTTTGACTTCCATCGTTAATATCTCGCTAATAACAATTAAACCATAAAATTTAATACTACCTATAAATGGAGGATTGTTTCATCTGTCCGATGGTGATATTATTTAGCTTGTTTGAATGATCGTTTACGAAAAATCAGCGATGGAAGTCAAAAATGACAGTTACATTATATCGTGGTATACCTGTACTTTATAATTCTTAGAAAAGTTTCATGGAAGGTGAGAAAATAACTTTAGGAAGAATTCCTAGGTGTTTCTGAGGAGCATTTTATGGGAATCTAGAGGAGAATATGAAGTGAGTTTTAAGGAAAATTACAAGAGAATGATGGCGAGAATTCAAAGAGCATTAAAACAGAGTTTAAGGGGAGGTTTACTGCCCCGAAAATAAAAAAAATATTTTCGTAACGTTTTTATTTCTCTAAAAACATAGTGAAAAAATATCAAAAATCCAAGAAAATCAGTTTCTTCCTTTTCATATAAAAATATTTTTTCTATCTCATCATTAAAAAAAATTGGACTCTCAGCAAAACCGAAAAGTCGATGTTTTGTGGTTTTTTGAGTCCAACTACGATGACTTATAAAAAATATTTATGCACGTGATGTGATTTTTTTTTAGATTTTTTATACCTTTTTTCAATATTTTTAGAAAAATCAAAACGTAATTATTTTTTTACGGAGCGGTGAACTCCCCCTTAAAGGGTGTTCTGAGGATAATTTCAAGAAAGAAAAAGACCCAGAAGGGTTCCTTAGGATAGGCTTCTAGTCTACACATACTAGTATTCCTGAAGAGATTTTTGATTAAAATGTTGAGAATATTTTCTAATGATTTGAATTCTCAGAATAATATCAAATGAATTCTATGGAGGATTCCAATTTTTTTTTTATTTGCATGAATTTTTTCTTACATTCTCTAGAAATTCCTTTTAAAACGTGCTTGGAATTATACTCGGACTATCCTTATAGATCTTTGCATATTTATTTTGGAATTGTACCCCCAAAATTCACGGTATTTCTCAAGTTTCCTGGAATCCTCTTCACTCTTGGGAGTTCTAGTAAAAATTCTCCTAGAGGTTTTCCTAAAGCTACCTAGACAATATTCTCTGAAATACCTGGGTGTTATCTCTAGAATTCATTCTAAAATCAGCTCAAATTTGCATTGGAAAAAAAATTCTAAAATTCTCTTAATTGTTCTTCAAAGTGACTGTAGTTATCCTGAAAATCTAGACCAGTCTAAGGATCTTGAGATATTATTGTTTTCGAAGGGAGGACGCGGTATATTTTTCCAGATTTGTCAACTAAATTCATGGGATTTTCCCGGTGACTCCAAATTCCAGCTTTTTCCGGTTTTCCCGGTTCACTGGTCACTCTGCATTTCACATATGAAACACTTGTTTTTAATCCCATTATATTTGTTTTGCCTTGAGCACATTTTCAGACCCAGCTCCGTGAGAAAATTATTCCGAATAATATACTTAACCAAAAGCTAATTCGCGGGCGGATTCCTCCGGTGGGAAAAATAAAAACAACACTTCCATCTCCCAAGTTCTGAAAGTTAATTCCATCTAAATTGCAATAGCAGCAACATCATTATCATACTAAAACTTTACTGTGAAGCTAATTATACGAGCTAACCAGGTTTACAATGAAGACCTAGAATACTTACTACAGCCACTCTGTGCTGTCAAAGCAATGCTTGTCTACGTATCTTTGAATCATTATTCAATCATAAAAGTGCTACTCCAAGGAATAAAAAAAAAACTCCCAAGCAAGACCATTATCCTAAATTCTCATTTAGTTAGTTCTCTGACCTAATCAAGCTGTTAAGAACACAATAAGGAACAAGAACTAGAAGTATTCATAAAAAAATCATTATATTCTCTTAAAGCTGGGTTTAGGCAAGGCAAGTCAATTGATCAACTGACTTTAGCGTGTAAGCTATGCCATTTAACTGACTTGAATTGAAAAAAAAAGTTCAACCAGGTTCAACTCTTCAAGCCAATGGAATTCCACCTAGTTGATCAAAGACTTGCCTTTTCTAAGCCCAGCTTAACTCTTAATCATTCTTGCATTTACTCAAAAGCGCTCCAATGCACTCAAGGGATTGATTTTTGTTGGACATAGCTGGATCGAACAGACGCAGAATCTACTTGAAGGTTACCTTTGTCATAAGCAATTAGGTATAAAATCTATGAAGAGACGCACATTCCCATAAGCAGCTTAATTTTGCAACAACTAACAACGTTTAGCGTCTCTACGGATCTGAATTTTTGTCTCGGTTCAACTCAGGACTGTGACAACACCCAGTGGGAGAAGAATTTATAATAGGCTCAAAATCATCGAAATACGCTTTTATTTGAGTAACTTTTGCTCCACTTGCAAAACTGCAACATAAAGCGTTGAACAACCACACTTTCGCAACTCTATTTAAAATTTGAAATTGAAAAACTTCTCAAACTACAACGAGTAATTAAGTTGTTTGAAATTAGCGAAGTCAGCCATACTTATTCATATATTTCTGTCATAGAGACATATTTCCCTGACTTTGAATGAAATTCTCTGACAATCCCTGATTTTCCTGGTTCAAAAATGAGTTTCCTGATATTCCCTGATTTTCCAGGTTTTTCCAGATAGTCGACACCCTGTTTTAGGGGAATTTAAAGGGATTTCAGAACAGAATTCCACGATACGAGAAGAGCTCCAAGGATATTTTCTTGTGAGTTTAAGGAGAATCCCATGATTAATCTGAACAGATTTCCAAGGTTATTTATTATGAATAAAATATGTTTTTGATACTAAATATACTAATATAAAATTATTTGGAAAAGTTAGTTTGAAGATAGTTTCAAGAGAATTCCGAAAGGAATTTATTAAAGAAATATCAAAAAGTTTGAGGACATTTCATTCTATTTTTCATCAAGAGCATTTTGAGAAGCATTTCAAGAAAATACTGTGGACAATTTCTATAGAATTCTGAGATGAAATAAAAGAAAAATTGAGGATAACACTTTTATAAATTCTAAATGACATACCATGAGACATCCAGGAATTATCTACGGAAAAGTTTGCTATCTGTTCTAATGTAAGGCTAGAGGTTCTCCTATTATGTACTACAAGCTGTCTAACCACCCAAGGAGTCCTTTTGATTTCCTCCGTTCTTCTTTGGCGGCCCACTGGGATTTTACACCGGCTCTCACAATAGTTTTCTTTGAGCCTTTGCTTTAGTATTATTGTGTAGCAAGTACAATCATACTTTATTGCTAGGGAATTTGAGAAATTGTTCAACCCTGGTCTTACTATTCTGCAGCGTTTTTATTGACTGAGCTAAGAAAGGCCCCATTTCCTCCGTGTTTCGTTTGTAACATTTTCGAATATTGCAATTAATTTCACTTCATTAAATTTAGCCACCAGCCTCCTCCGAAAAGTCCTCACAAACCATTCAATAGTTGCTGACTAGCATTTTTTTATACTTTTCTCTGAATTCACTACTAAGGATGCATAATCTTGTGTGGTACCAATTCCCATCGAATTGCATAATTTATTCCATTCAAATATGATGTACGTTCAAGGGAAAATTCCCCATCCCCCGCCAAAGGCAAATCAAACCCCGCAAATCGCAAAACCAACCACTCATGAAATAAACCCCACCCACAACACACCGTAGGAACTGCCAAGGAATCGCATAAAGCAAAGGAGGCAACCGAGTTTATGGGTTAGATTTTGGCACAAGGCATTCCCATTTTACCGGGTGATTTGTCATTCGATGTACTCCCACAGCTGAGACTCCCCCGGTCAACGCCCACGCCGAGCTACAAGCAACGGCTTTCGAGCAGTCGGTGGAAAGTCGAGGAGCTTCAGGGAAATGGAGCAAATTTGTTGTACATCTGCAGAAGCCAACAGGGAATTTTCCACACAGCACACTGCTACTGGTTGGATCCCAGGATTCGCAAAACCGAAATAACCATCCTTGCCATCCGTCCTATCTTTACCTATCTAATGCGGGTACGATTAAAGAGATTAATTATTTCAACCTCGGACCTTTTGGCCTGCGCACTCTGGAGCGATGCGGCGATACATGTGTTTGCATTACGAAAAGGAAGGTTCTTGGAATTGGATTACTTGGCAATGGATCATGATCCCCATACTGGTGTGGGAATTCAGCACTAGTAAATGAAATAGTTTTCATCATGCATTTTTATTGAGGAATAGCGCACATATTCAGAACAGGTCACAGGTCGTTTAAGGAAACTATAAATGTAAAAGCCAGGTTGAAAATGGAAAAGAGAGTCAGTCTTGCTTCAGCCAATTAGTTGTACTTCTTCAGCTTGCTATAACTGTAACCATGTCCGTAGTAACCGCCCTCGAGACCACCCATCTGTTGTCCACCCATTCCGCCTTCCTGGATAGCATGTCCAATGTTCTTGACCTTAGCTTCGAAACCGTTTTTGCTATCGGCGTGGTACTCAACAATGCGCTTGGTTCCATCAGCTTCATCCAGGCTGTACGCGCCCTTGACGACATCGCCATCGCGCATCTCCCACTGGCTCTTGTGGTCACCCGTTTTGTAGTCCTTCACTCCGTACTCGAAGTTGTATTTCGGGTAGCTGTAATAATCCTCACCACCCATACCAATTCCACCCTGAAACACAAATTTCGAAAAGCCATTAATATTGAATCTGCCACATCAAACCCGAGTGATTCTTCTCACCTGAGAGCCTCCGCCAAAGCCCATGCCGCCCATTTCACTCATGCCACCCTCGGAACCACCGTACCACTTGTACGGGACGTGTTTGACCTCACTGACGAATCCATGGTGCTCGTAGGCCAGAGCGGCTCCCAGAAGGGCAACAGCTACAAAAAAGCTTGCTCGGAACATTTTAGGACACTGCTAGCGGATTTTACACCGAGAATGGTTGCGGTTAGAACTTCCGAATGCTACTGATGCACTTTACCGCACCATTGTGCACTATTTATACTAATGAATGTGCGGAATGCTGTCAAACGGTTACGGCGTCAATCGGGGAAAATCAATCCGCAAAAACGTTTTCGAAGGTCATCCACACCCTTCAACTTTCTACAACCCTAAATCGAACAGTTTTGCACCACCTGCTGCTGGCAGTACCGGCGCTGGTGGTGCAGTGATTCCACCCACCTATGGCATTGACGCGTGTGCGCCGCCCCCCGCCCCCGCTGCACCTAAACCCGTCCACCATCAATCAATCAATCGATTCGGTTTCTACCAAGTTCATTAAAAATTCATAAGTTCTGTTTCGGAAAAGTTCTATACATGCAGGTATCGGTTTTTGTTTGCTGTTGCTGCTGCGCCTCACGCAGTCTGATTTGTTCCGAACGGTCATCATCTCCGTCGTCGGTGTCGTCATAATGCGGTACAGGGGTGGTTTAATTGCACCGGATAAGGGAGTTGGGGAACAAGTGTGGCGATGACTGCCTTCTTTAAGGATTCGGAATGACAACAGGTTCTACGGACGAAATGACCAAGTGGTAGTGGTTAACATGATTACCTCTCACCCCAGCAGGCCTGGGTTCAATCCCAGTCGGCACCGCCGGGATGTTCTGAGGCATAACATCTCTGATCACGCCTTTCTTCGGAATGGAAGTAAAGCCGTTGGTCCCCGGTTCATGAGTTGATGAGTCGATAGGTAGGGTCCAGGTGTGGGAGCTGCCTCCCTGGCGTCGGTAGCATTGGTGCTCAGCACGGAAAACAAGATCGACGAAAAACAAATCAAAGGGAAAAAAAAAGAAAGACGATAGATGTGGATACAGCGTAGTAACCACAAATTTTACGGTTAGAAAAAGATTATAGAATAATAACAGCTCAAAGCGTTAACCTGGGTGGCCAATCAACAAGTAGTTGGAGCCTACCGTATGCGTGATAATGTTTGCACCATTGAGCAATGTCAAAATTTGAAAAATTCTCAAAAATTTCGTTTTCGAGTTTTTTTTATTTATTTAAAGGGGGGATGTTTCTCAGAGTCTTAAACTTTGTTAATCATCGATCGAGTTTCCACTTGCTGCAATTACGGCCTCCACACGCTTCCGGAATGCACGGCAGGTTCTTATAATGTAGTCTGGATTCATTTCTCTCCAGGTACGGGTCAATGTTTGTCTGAGGCTTGGTGTACTCGGGTGGCGTTTAGAACAGGCCTTGGCCTTCATGACGCACCATATTGAGTAATCCAGCGGATTAAGATCGGGGCTGGATGGCGGCCACATATCGTTCGCCCAGAACGGAAGATGTTCCTGCAACCACTTCTGAGTGCGGTTTGAGGTGTGGCACGGAGCCCCATCTTGTTGAAATATTTTTGCGTCGGACCGTACTGTTCTTTGATCCACGGAAGAACATACTTACTTAAAATCCCGATGTAGACCTCCGTGTTGACCTTGTCGCCTTCTGGAATGAACATCGGGTCTATTTTTTTTGCCATTGGAAGCCACCAATCCAAACACCATAACGCTAGCAGGATGCTTGGTCAGATACACGTTCTTGTGCTTGTCGGCCACGTCTTTTACCGGAAGAGAACTAATATACCGGTCGGTTCTGGAATTTGATATGGGATCAACGGTAAACATTATCTCGTCGGTGAACAGGATTACCAGATTTTTTTCGCTTAATGAAGTTCAAGATTTCCTTGCATAGTTCGACTCGTAGCTTCCGGATGCGGTTGGTAATCATGTCAGTTTTTCCGTGCCCTCGAATTTGCCCCGCAATCTTCCTTTACGATCTTCCGTGCCGTAAAGTCACTGATCCCGTGTTCCTTTGCCATTTTCCTTATTGAACGCACTGGATTCACCCGAATCTTCCTTTTGATAGCAGCGATAACCCTCGGAACACGAGCTGACCTCGGACGACCTGTGGTCACCTTCGTGGATAGTTGTCCTTTCTATTCTCGGTCTAAAACCCTTTTGACGGTCCACCGGGACACTCCCACGGCGATTGAAATGTCTTTTTGCGACATTTGCGCGTGGGACAAATCACGAATACGTACGAATACGAATTCGTCATGGTGCAACTGTCAAACTAACGTTTAATCGTCTTTCTTTATTTACAGAGTGTCTACTCATTTGGCTAAATAGAATTCCCTGATTTTTCTAGAACTTTAACGGGTAATTTCCATATTTATAATAAGAAAGCTATGTTTTGGATGTGTTAAAAATATGCTTTTGCTTTGGTACCACAACATGATAATCAGTTTTAAAGAATGAGCTCAATATTCTCTTCTGAAGATTCGTTTTCCACGCACAAGTTTAAAATATAATTTATTTTTTCAAAGTGCCAGAATTAAGGGAAAACAAAATATTTGAAGCTTGTCATTAACGTTATGAACATTTAGAGATCTTCAGTCGCATTGACTTCACAACAATTGTAGGAACTTTACAAAAGTTCTGAGAAATGAAAGAAGATGCTGAGAATTTCAGTGAAGCTTCATAAACAAACTGAGGGAACATACGGGAAGTTAACATCCTCAAAATATGATTAACTAACTGGAAGCTTTCAGAACCACTTCTGTTAGCTTCCGAAAAACTACAGGAATTTTTAAGAAGTGCCTAGAATTTCAGGGAACTTAACCGGTGCCAAGAGTACTTCAGGAGTAAAGAGAACTAGAGGAAAGTTGTGAAAACTTTTAAGAGGTTTTAAGTACCTCATAAAAGCTAGATCTAGAGATATTTGGGGAATTTCAGAGATCTTAAGGGCAGCTCCTGTAACTTTAGTCCAGATTTTTTGTGCAGCTTAAAGATCTATAAGAAAGAGTATAGCCAAATTCAGGATATTTCCATGACGTCCTGTAAAAAAAAATCAAGAACTCTTAAGATGTTCCGAGAATTTCAGGGACGTACGGAGACATCGAGAGAATTTATGAAAACTTTAGAAAAAAATCGAGGAACTTAACGGAAGTCCAGAGAATTTCACGGAAATTTAAAGGTATTTACGAGAATTCCATTGATTTCAGAGCAGAACCTAGATTTTCGATAGAGTTGAGAAATTCAGGAAAGCTCCGACAACATCAGAGAATAAAACGGCAGTTCAAATAATTTCATGAAAATTACAGGTACCTTAAAGAAGCTTCTAGAAACGAATTTCCGGAATCTTCAGCAAAGCTCCGAGAGAATTTCTGGAACGCAATAAAAATGATAGGGTTACGGTATGTAATGTGGGTCTAGTCCTTTCATTCGGCCTATCACGCAAATAAATAATTAATTAAGGAATATTACACAAAAAATAAGGAAAATATTGATCACTGATGGTTGATAAATGTGTACCACACACAAATCAATTTATATCACAACATTTCAATACATTTTCAGCTCTCGTAAGTAATAAAACTGGTTGAGAATATCACAATGTTCGGAGTTTTTAGCCGCCATGACTTATAAGGTTAAGATGGGAAGGTTGACTGACGATCATCAAATGGCCTGATTATGGCATTTATTGATTGGAATTACCTGATAATACACACTAGACGTAAAACTTACAGTTGCTGTTTGAATATTTTATGTTTATTTTAATTGTTTAACAACGTTTTCACAAGTAAAACATGGACCCAACTTTAGGGACACATTTCTTTTCTATGTTCCTAACTATGGCCCATGAAATTCATTTGACAGCATATAGCAATAAGAGTAACGTCAACAATGTTGTTTTGCATTTGGATGATAAGGAACGAACAGGAAGGGAGATTTTTTCTGCCAAACCTGTATAATGAACATCACAATGTTCTGATTTAGATATTCTGCGGTCAAAAGACGATAAGCGAAATTTTTAATTTTTAATTTTTAAATTGAGTGATTTAATGTAGTTTTCGTAAAATTTTCTCTAAGAAATGTTTTGAGGAATGAAGAGCATTAAGTTAACAGTGATAGTGATAAAAAAAAATACATCAGAAAACGTTACCAAGAGCGTTTTTTTGAGGATCAAACAAGATAGGACGAAGTTGCATCCATAAATAGACCCAATTTGGGGACAATAGACCCATATTACATACATTTCCCTCGTGAGTTATTGTCTTAAAAAAAGTAAGTTTTTCAACTTTTCGTGGTTTCTGATAGCAAACGACATGATAAGCATATCTAAGCATACCATTTAGCAGTAGAATATCGTTTGCAGGTAAATTCATTGATGAGTTATGATTAAAAACGTAATCGATGGCTGCATATTAGACCGAGGTTAGGGACGTATACCCTATGATCATATTTCAAGTACTTTAAAAAATTTCGAAAAATTAGCTTTAGTTATAGAAAATATTTTGGCAAGCATCGATTCTAGAAATCCAGAGATCTTACTTAGATTGTTTTAGATAGTTTAATTGTATTCAGAAAAATTCCATTAATTTCAGAAAATTTGCAGCGACTTACAAGGAGTTCCGTGGAATTACGGAATATTCCGAGAATTCTATGATTGATCCAAAAACTTCAGAAGCATCAGGGAGTTATGAATATATATCAGAAAATTTGTTGGAACATTAAACAGATATAGAGAACTTCCGGTAAGCATAAAAAACTTCTGCGATGTCCAGATATGTTCAGGGAAAATAAGTGATTTGAGGCAAAGTTCCGTGAGCATTTATTACTTAAGGAAAATTGTGGAAAGGCAATTTAATAAAATTCCGTTAAATTGTGAGTTCTTATAAAAAGTACTGAGTATTTGAGGGCAGTCTAGAGAAGTTTAACGAAATTCATAAATCTTTTAGGCAGTTTTAATAACATCATGAATGTCTAGACTATTAATGAAGTAATGAAGTAGTGTCGATAATTAAGGGGAAATCCACGAAATTAAAAAATAATGTTGAGAACTTCCGTGAAAATCACAGAATTATATTAATTATTCCGTTCCATTCCACGAAAATACGGGAGCAAATTTAATCAATTGTTACTGGAGTTACTGTACTGGAGTAGTCTATGGAACTTAAGGGAAGATCCGAGAACTTAAGGAACTATCATGAAGATTAGCAAAATGTGAGAGCATTTCAAGACGCTTAGTAATAGGGGGTATTTCACGG